TTTTTATTTTTTATAAAATTGTTATAATGCCTCTCTTTGATTTCTGATTCTAGTAATATGATCCTTTTTTGTTTTTTCCCCATTTCAGTCCATATAAAGATTGGCCAACTTTGTTGATATTTTCAAGGAATCAAATACCAGTTTTGTTAATGTCCTCTTTTTTTTTTTTTAGTCTTTTCCATATATTTCTACTCTAATGTTTATTACTTTCCTCTTTTTGCTAGCTTTGAGTTTAGATTGGTCTTTTTAATTTCCAGTGCCTTAAGGTGGACAGTTACATTACTGATTTGAGCTCTTTATTATTTTTTAATATATGTATTTATACGGTACTTAAAATTTCTCTTTAGCACTACTTTTTGCTGCACCTCATTAGTTCTATAATGTTGTGTTTTTGTTTTCCTTTGAAGGAATTGTTCTAATATTCTTCTGGATATTTTTGGCCTGTTAATGAAGAGTGAGCTACTAGGCAGGCTGTGATGGCACACGTCCATAATCTCAGCTACTTGGGAGGCTGAGGCAAAAAGATTGCAAGTTTGAGGCCAGCCTGACCATTTAGTGAGACTGTGCTTTGGGATTTTAAAAAATGGGCTGGGGTTGTATCTTAGTGTTAGAAGCTTGCTTGGCATGTGCAAAGCCCTCCCCAGTGCTAGGGAAAAAGAAAAGACTAAGCTATTTAATTCTTGTATTTTTGTGAATTCTCTAATTTTTTTTTTTGTTATTGCCTTCCAGTGTCCTTTGTGATTGGAAAATACGTAAGGTTTCAATCTTTCTTAATTTATTTATTTATTATGTGACCTAATGATTAATTTATCCTGGAAAATGTTCTGCGTGCACATGAGAATGTGTGTTCTGGTCTTGAGTGGAGTGTTTTGTGTGTGGTTTATAGTGTTAGTCAAGTGTTTTAGCTCCTTATTTATCTTCTGTCTGGTTGTTCTGCCCATTAATGAAAGTTGGGCATCCCGTTTCCAGATATTATTGTAGAAATTTCTATTTCTCCCTCCAGTCTTGTCAACCTTTGCTTCATATGTTTTGAGGCTGTTAGGTGTTATATTCAGGATTGTTATATTCTCTTCCCACAGCAAACCTTTTAACAACTTAGCCTTCTTTATCTCTTGTAACCTTGTTAAATTTAAGCTCTATCTTGTCTGATGATGATGATGATGATAATAATAATAATAATATCACAGCTTTCTTTTGGAAATATCTTCTTCATCTTTTTACTTCCAATTACTTTTGTTTCCTTGTACCTAAAGTTTCTGGTCGCATATGTCTTGGTGCCATTTTTTTAGCCACTCATCCAGTATGTGCCTTTGAACAGTGGAACTTAATCCATTTCCACTTGATTACTGATAAGACTTATCCCATTTGTCTGTTTTCAGTATGTCTTAAATGTTTTCTCTATACTGCCTTTTTCATTTAGTGATTGTTCGTAGTATACCACTTTAATTTTCTTTTTCTCTTTCACTGTATATTTTTAGTTCTTTCTTAGTTGTTACCTTGGATATAACAATTAACATCTTAAACTTACAGCAACCTAGTTTGAGAAGTACCGTTGTGGTTTTGGCAGTACTCAAATATTCTAATCCTATACAACTCTTTCTCCTTTATATTGTTATTATCACAGAGGATGTCTTTATATATTGTATTCCCATTAACATAGATTTAAAATTATTTTATACAATAACTTTTATAGCTTATAGAAAAAAGAGATGTTACAAACTACACTAAAACTACAATATATTGTTTGGTATTTGCCTATGTAGTTGCCTTTCCCTATGCTGTTAACTTTTCCTTATGTCTTCAACTTTCTAAGATCCTTTTATTTTAGCCTGAAAGTCTCCCATTAACATTTTTCATACAGCATGACTCTTAGTAATGAACTCCCTCGGCATTTGTTTATCTGTTTTTAATTTTTCCTTCATTCTTCAAAAATAGTTTTTTGCTATGTCAGGTAACTAGGGAATGAACCCAGGACCTTTGCACTAAGCTACATCCTCTGCCCTTTTTATTTTTTATTTGGAGACAGAGTCTCACTAAATCACTAAGTTGTTCGGGCTGGGTTTGAACTTGCAATCCTCCTGCCTCAACCTAAAAAATAGTTGTGACAATTTTTATTCCTTTGACAATTTTAAATATGTCATCTTCCTACCTTCTGGCCTCTGTGGTATTTTAATGGAAATCAGCTCTTAATCTTCTTCTTTTTTTTTTTTTTTTTAAGTTTTTCTCCGGTACCGGGAACCGAACTCACGACCTTGCGCTTGCCAGGCAGGCACTTTTGCCGCTGAGCTAAATCCCCAGCCCCCAGCTCTTAATCTTCTTGAGGATCCCTTGCATGTCACATAACTTCTCTCTTCCTGCCTTCCAAATTATGTATCTCTGAGTTTCAGCAAGTTGACTACAATATGTCTCAGTTTCCCTTTGAGTGTCTCCTGCATCCGTTCATTGTGCTTCTTGGATGTGCATATTCATGTGTTTCCTCAGGCTGGGGGACTTTTGGACCTTTATCTCTTCAGATTTTTCTACATTTTCTTCGCTGGAACTGCTAAAATGAATATCTTGGCGCGTTCTCTGAAGCTTTGTTCATTTTTCTTCACTCTCTTTTCTTTCTGCTTTTCAGACTAAGTAACTTCAAGTTTACTGATCCTGACTTCTGAGGGCTCGGATTTGCTGCTGAATGTCTGTAGTGAGTGTTACAGTTACTGTAGCTGTCAGCACAAGCATCTCTGTTTGGTTTTCGTTATACTGTTTCTCGACTGATATTCCAATTTTGTTCATATGTCATCTTCTTGATTTCCTTTAGTTCTTTGTTCATAGTTTTCTTTCACTCATTGAACATATTTGAGCCGGTTAATTGAACACCTTTGATTAACAATTCTCGTATCTTTTCTTCCTTGAGGATACCTTCTTTCAAATTCTGTTTTTCCTAAAAGTGGGCTCTTTTTTCCTATTTTCCTCACATGTTGCTCAGATTTGTCCTTGTTCAGACCTGGACATCTAGGATGTTATGTTATGATAACTCTGAAAATCTGATCCTCCCATTTCTTAGGGATTGTTCCGTTTTACTTTTGAAGTCCAGGGCCATCTGTTTGTGACTTTCCCAGACTATTTTTGCAAAGTATGTACTCTTTGTTGTATGTGGTCATTGACAGTTTTGTTCCATTGTTTTTGCATTTTCTCAATGACCTGCCGAGATCACCCTAAATATCTGACTCCCAAAGGGGAGGAGGGAGAACGAATTAAATCTCTTGGAAAAGTTTATTTCCCTTACAGTTTGTGGAGGTTTCAGTCCGTACTTGGCAAGTTACAAGGCAGAGTGGCACATGGCAGAGGGCTGTAGCTCATGGCAGCAGAACACAGCAAAAAAACAAAACACACACAAGGGAGGAAATAGCCAGAAGCACCCTCTTTCTCTCCCTTACATATGCAAACTATCCACCCCAGGGCGGGTGTAGCTCTTACACCCATAATCAATCAAACTCTAAAAGCCCGCCCCATGGCCTCATGAGGCTTTGGGGGAACACCCAGACACAAACCATAACAACTGTGAAAGGTAAGCATTTTGAATGGAGTCAGGACAGCCAGGCAGCCAAGAGAGCACAACTAAACACACTCACGAAGAGGACTTCCTGAACTGCTTTAAAAAGTGACAAGAATGATAAGTTTATTCAAAGCGAGGGGAACTGTTTTGAGGCAGATGAATGGCAATGTGTCCTTTACTATAGTAATTTGTTTTAAACACTTACATTTTTCATTACATCTCATAGCTTCACTTCAGACTTTGTGCTGGCCTCTCAGGCCGCAAATGCAGCATCAGTGTTCAGAACATAGCTGTAGCATTTGGAGAACAAGGTTCTCATTGTTCACTCTGGCTTCAGCAAGCTGCACCAGGGATGTGCCCAGCATTTCCACTACCTTCCTGTGGCCAGAGGAAGTTTGAGAGGGGGCAGTTGATATCTCCCGAAAGGCTGAAATTCGCTGAAACTTACCAACATTTACCAGCCTCTTCAGCATGCTTTCCCAGGTTACTGCAAGCATTTCAGTATAATCAGCTGAGTGCAGTGGCATACCCATGGCATTTTAGCATTCTGGGAGGCTGAGGCAGGTTGATTGTAAGTTGGAGTTCCATCTAGGCAACAATGTGAGACCCTGTCACAAAATAAAAACTGAAAAGGGCTGGAATGTAGCTTACTAGCAGAGTACTCCAACTCCAATCACTCAGTATTGCAAACCAACAAATAAACAAAACTAAACTCTGGAGCTCTAAAATGTTTGATTCAGATAGCTCTTATCATTCAATAGTTGTTTAGGAGGGATATACTTTTAGAACTTCTTACTTTGCTGTCTTCTACCCAGATGTATCAGTCAGTGCTTATTAGAGAAACAGACTAAATACAGCATATACAAGTACATGAGAATTTACAAGACTGGCTTATACTGGCCAACCACAGAGTCAGGTGGGCTACCGGGAATCAAACTCAGGACCTTGTGTTGCCAGGCAGGCACTGTGCCACCGAGCTATATGCCCGACCCTGGAAAGTTCTTCGTATATTCTGCATATGAAGTCTTTTCTCAGATATGTGATTTGGAAATACTTTCTCCCAATCTATGGCTTGTCTTTTCATTTTAAAGTGTCTTTTGAATACTGTTGTCAATTTTCTATTAGTTTTTATTATGAATAGGTGGGTCATTTTACTTACTCATTGCAAAATAGTAGAGGGATTATTATTATTCCTACTTTATAAATGAAGAAACTAAGATATCGAGGTTTTAGTTGTTTACCCAGTGTCACAAGTTGGTAAGTAATAAGAGTGAGAATTTGCAACCTCTGAGTCCACAGCCTGGGCTCTAATCCCAATTCTAGGTGGAATACCACATTGGGAATGCTGGGATCAAGGCATTGATCGGAGTGACTGTGTTCAAAACCACTTCTCTGCCGTTGGACCCACTCAGGTCTCCCAAGCCTCTGCCCCTGCTCCCCATGCTCCATCTCCTCCCTCCAGATTGGTTGAGGAAGTGAAGGAGCTGTGTGATGGCCTGGAGTTAGAAAATGAAGACGTTTACATGGCAACCACCTTCGGGGACTTCATCCAGCTCTTAGTGCGGAAGCTGAGAGGGGAAGATGAAGAGACTGCGTGTGTCATCGACTATGTGAGTCCTGGGCCCCTCCGGATGGGCATGGTCCTACATACCCTCAGGCACCTGCATCTGTGGATTCACAGTGACGTATGGGGGAGGCAGGACATTCTGGAGGCTAGGCGCTCCCTGGTGTCCTGGACAGCCCAAGGTGTCGGGGCAGTAGGGTGAACCCAGTAGAGGATGTTGCTGTCTGGTGCTCACTCGTGAGTCAAATTTTGCATCTCAAGACATGCAAACAAAAGTAAAATGAAACTTTTAGTTCTCCATAAGGAAAACAGTTGATCCTGTACCTTCAAATTCTATTAATAAAAGTGTGATGAGTAATCCCAAACCTATTTTTTAAAGAAACTCTTGAGAAATCTCACTTTGGGATCTCTCTTTAGGCCACCAGCTCCCAAGAGAATGAGCTTTGAGGTAACTTATTTGGTTGGTGGTTTGGAACAGAAGCTGGTAAAGAAAGTACAGGTGGCCCAGGTGGACCCTAGATTGCCCAGGGATAGTGAGTAGGCAAACAGGTAACAGATTGGCGGCAGTGGTGGGGATCCTCAGGGACTCCTGTGTTCAACGTGGAATTGTGGTTTCATTGAGAAAGGAATGGCAGAGTGGGGATGACATGTCTGGTGGCTTAAAGGGCCTTGCTGCTCACAGCATTTCCTACACGCTGAGAATCCCCCAGCCTCACGAAGGAGGCTATAATCAGCTCAGGACTCCAGTCCAGGCAGTGCACCCCTTTTGTGCTCTTTGTCTCTTCTTATCCCTCAGCTGCCTCAACGGCTGCCCGAGGACAGCTCCTGAAGCCTCGGCCCCTGGTCATGCGTGTGCATGTCCCAGTACGTGTCACTGCTCCCATGTGTGAAAGACCCGCACTACAGCTGTACCTTCTCTCCCAGGTGGAGAAGGCAGTGAACAAGCTGACTGTCCAAATGCCACACCAGCTCTTCATCGGGGGCACGTTTGTGGATGCTGAGGGTTCCAAAACCTACGATACCATCAACCCGACAGATGGAAGTGTGAGTGTTGGCCCAGAGCCCCCTCCTCACCTGTTCCCCCAACCTGGGTCTTAGCCAGGGGTCTCTGTTGGATATGCAGTTTCACAAGGATGGGAATAGAGTGGGAAGATAAGAAGACCAAGTGGGCGGAGGCAAGACTACAGAGGGCCTTGAATCTGCTTCAGACACTAAAAACAGGTTAAAGCTCTCATAGAAAAAGAAATGTGTTGTTGTCGCTCCTCCACATGCTGCAGCGACTCCAGCAGGCTGATACTCGCATACCCCCATCAGGAAATTCCTTGTGTGGAATCCTGTGTTTGTTGGACTTTCTTGCCTGACTCTCACTGTCATGACCCAATACACACACTGTATCTCCTGAAATAAGATTTGCTCTTATGGATGCATACTGGTGATCTTCTGCCCTGCTCTGTCTTATAGTATCACTCAATCCTTGCAGAAAGCAGAGCACACTCAGGATAGATCATTTGAAAGAGGTGTGAAGGAAGAGCAATGTCCAAAAGGACAGGCAGGGATGGGGACAGATGGGATGGTGTGAGGCCCTTGGGATTGGAACATCGGGAGCATAGCATGATAGGGCCTAGGATGGGGAGGCAGTGCTGTTCCTGGAGACCGGGAAGGAGGTACCGCCCTCGCTCCTCACCCCCAACCCCACTGGCTCCTCTTGCTAGATCCAGGGGTCTTGCACTGTAGTGGATGGGGGACTGTCAGGGCAGAATGGGTGGGAAGCGGGCAGATCAGAGACTGGCACACGGCCCAGTCACTTCTAGTGTCTAGTCTATTTCCCTTTAGAGCTTTCTAGCTGGACTCACCAAGTTAATGAATGACCCTCAGCTGATCTTTAGCCATAGCCTTGGCCTGGAGCTCTTGTTCCGACTGAGCTCTGTGGGAATATAAGTGCTCTGAAGTAGGAACACAGACAGACCTTTTCCCTTCATGCGTAAACTCTCCCAGACCCCTCTGGCCACGTGTTCCCTTTACACCTGCCCATGTGGTTGGGGGTTCTGCCTCAGTGGAGCCTGAAGAGAGGCTTCTGAAGCTGTGGGGTGTCTCTGTAAACCAAGCCCAGGGAGGACTGTCATGCTCTGCTCCTACCACAGGTCATCTGCCAAGTGTCCCTGGCCCAGGTCAGTGATGTCGACAAGGCAGTGGCTGCAGCAAAGGATGCCTTCGAGAATGGGCTGTGGGGGAAGATCAGCGCGCGGGACCGGGGCCGGCTCCTGTACAGGTGAAAGCCCAGCACTTACCCGTAGCCATCAACACCTTCAGCTTGGGAAGACAGGAGCGGGTGTCTTTTCCTACAAGAGTCTTGTTTCCTGGGGTCCTGGGAAAGTCAGGGAGAGGTGGGCCCTGGGGAGATCATGCCAGACTGAAGCCTGCAAGATCCTACCCTGAGACTCAGAAAAGACCTCTTGCAGGAAGGGACTTAAGAAGTAGGATGGACATCTGCAGACAAAAGTGGCCTTAGGAGGGAGGTGCCAGGTGGAGGTGGAGGTGGGGAGGTATAAAGGAAGCCTGTGGTTCATGTGGGATATAAACTGGGGTTGCTGGGAGACACAGCTCACGTGATCAGTTCCTACCCGGCAGAGTTTACCTGCCCTTGCCTGGGCGGAATGACTCGGGATTCCTGTGAGGGCAGAGATGCAGCCGCTCATCACTCTGCTTGTTGTTGTGCAACCTGGCTCTGGCTGCTGGAACCGCCAGGTCTCACATTTTCCTTTTTTTTTTTTTAATGTTGAAGCCAAGAAGGAAAGGGCCTTCTTCCCTTTGGTTCCACCTTAGAAGGCTTAGGCAAGGAGTTGTGATTGCTCTGGCTGATGACCATGGGGTGGAAGGGAGCCTGGACAAGTGGTGCTGTGCCTCTCAAACCATGGAGCTCAAGGCGGGGGAAAGGGGCAGTCACCCCCGCAAAGCGGTGGGGTGATGTTTCCAGAAGCGGGGAGGGTGTAGGGAAGAGAAGTCAAGCGGAGTCGGAGAACACCAGCTGAGTCATCTGGCTTTTATTCTCAGAGTCCTAGAAAGGCCCTGCAGAGTGTGAAGCTGCCTATGATGTGGTCCCACTTTGGCTTGTCAGCTGGCAGGAGACGCCCGGTTTGGCCTTGCAGTCAAAATGGCTTTTATATCAGTTCCAGATGCTTCAAATGCCAGGGTAGCCCAGCAGCAGAGAACCAAAGAGAGGGACCTGCATGGCTTGCAAAACAGAATTGAGAATGTGGAATTAGGACAGGCAAGGACTAGGGAGGCGGAGCATGCTCAGCCCGCCGAAGTTTCCAGACCTCTTAGAGAACCCATCCATTGTGGGGAGGCATGGCTGGTGACACGTGGTTCCCAGAGCTGGAGATCAGGCAGAACTGTGAAACTTTGGTGCCCAGGCAGCTTTGGGGAGACTTCTGGGTACACAGTGAGCTTGTACAGTAAGAAGAGCCTTCCCCGGATGCTGTGCTGCCATCTGGTGGCATACGTCATCACAGTGCCTACCAACCACAATGACAGTAAGTGGCTCTGTGTGGCTCCAAGTGGAGACTACCTGGAAAGGTGACTGCAGCGCCTCAGAGCGCCTGGAAGGGCAACTGGAGAGCAGAGGGACAGACTCACAGCAGGCTGTATAAACAGGCCTTCCCAGGCATCTCCCCCCTGACATTCCTTATTACGGGGTTGGGGATCACTCCTGTCGCTGGAGATGCCAGCCTCAGGAGCATGCCCCCAGAAGGAACTGTCAGTTTTCTCGGTATTTATAAAGGCAGACATGCTTTATCTTAGTCGCAGCTGTCCAAAGACAGGGAAGGTGGCCTCTTGAGGTGGCCATCTTTTTATTGTCTGCAGCAAATGCAGCGTAATGGTGTCGGGGGGTTATAAAGTAACCAATCCATAGATACTTCAGGAAGGGAAAAAGGAAAGAAAAGGAAAAGTGAGAGGGAGAGGGTATCATACTGATGCCTACCCAGTAAAGTGAATGTTATTGGCCCATTGTACAGGTGAGGGATCTGAGGTCAGCACGTCTTGAATGTGGTTCACCTGGGAGTGATGTGGTGGGTGGAACCACTGATTCTATGAAGAAAGACCTTAAAAGACTGCAGCAGGCCTGAACCCACCTCCTACCTCTCCTTCACCTCTCCTTCCACTTCCTACCTTGTCCTTCTCCAGGTTGGCAGATCTCATGGAGCAGCACCAGGAAGAGCTAGCCACCATTGAGGCCCTGGATGCAGGTGCTGTCTACACACTAGCCCTGAAGACTCATGTGGGCATGTCTATCCAGACCTTCCGCTACTTTGCTGGTTGGTGCGACAAGATCCAGGTGGGGCCTGGGCTCAGCCCACAGTGAGAGTGCTTATGTGGACAGGCCCATAGAGGGGAACTCCAAGGGCCATGTACTGGCCTGCACACCATGTACCATGACGGATAGCTTAAAACAACACCCACTTATTAGTTCAAGTTTCTGCAGGTGGGAATTCCAGAGGGGCTCAATAACAGGGTTTCAGAAATGTAGAAGTCAGCATTATGTTATTGTATGAAATATCTGATATGAGCAACTTATAAGGAGAAAAGGTTCATGGTTTTGGAGGGTTAAGTCCATAATCAGTTGGTCTGGTTGCTTTGGGGCCTGTGGTGAGGCAGCACATCATGGCTGGACAGTGTGGCACAGCAAAGCTGCTCACCTTGGGTAGCCAGGAAACAAAGAGAGCAGTCTCCTTCGAGGGCACGCCCCCTTGACCTAACTTTCTGCCACCCCCACCCCACCCCCAGCTCTTAAAGCTTCTACCACTTCCCAGTAGCACTGCCCTTGAGTCCAAACCTTTCTAACATGTGAGTCTTTAGGGGAACATTCCAGATCCAAACTCCAGCAACAGGGGAGGGTACAAGGTGGGCTGGGCCTTATTGTGAGGATCTGGGGCACAGCTTGCTTCCAGGCCAAGTTCAATTCTCTGTTGCTGTAAGGGCCTTCCTGGCTGCTGACTCCTTTGAGTCTCTCTAATGCTCTTTTGCCACTAACTGGAGAAAGCATTCTGCTTCCTGGGGGCTCTGGTACCTGTTCTAGGCCCGTGTGCCTCATCTCTCAGCCTAAGGTCCACTGGGACGTACATCACTGAAGGAGGCTTACAGTACTTCTGGCAGATCTGAGCTCTGCAGCTACTCTCCTCCACCAGGGGCTGAAGATGACAAGATATGACACAATAAGGGGCTGCCTGCTCCCCATTCTGCTGCCCTGTCACTTCCCACTGAGACTCACTTCCTGGACCTCCTGTGCTAATGCAGCTGCTTACAGCTGCAGGGGCAGCCTAGCTTCTGAGCCTGTCTTCACCTTTGCTTTGCCCAGAAATCAAAGCTAAAGGCCCTGTTCCTACCAGGACCAGCACCCTACCTTGGTGCAATGCCTGCTCAAAGTGGAGCCAGAGCTTTGTCTATCCTGGTTGTCCACTCTGTCATTTCTCAGCATGTGTAAGCTGGCATCTTTGGCTTCCTATCCAGCTGTGTAGTTGGGGAGTTAATACTTGGACAAGACTTTATTTTTCCTGGGCCCCAGTAGGGGCCATATGCCCAAAGGGAAAAGGGTGAAATCCCCCAGTAATGCCCCTATGCTTCTTCCAGGGCTGCACCATCCCCATCAACCAAGCCAGACCCAACCGCAACTTGACCTTGACCAAGAAAGAGCCTGTTGGGTGAGTCCCTGCCCAGGGAGCACAGCCATGTGGATACTTTTCAAGCATGTGTGCACTATACTCACATGCCAGCCCACAGAGAGCTCACTAACACCCCTTTATACATATTGATGGGAGAGCTATTCCATTTACTTCTAAATGGAATACCTGCTCTATGTCAGGCTCTGCTATAACATCATTTGTTTAATTCCCACAATAACCCTATATCAGTTTCATGGTGGTAGAGAGTATATCCAATAAAGTTTATCCAGAAAGAATATAATGAGATTAGTGTGCAAAAAGATGAGAAATAGTTATATTAGTCAGGGTTCTCAAGAGAAGCAGAACCAGTTATATATATATGTATATATATATATATATATATATATATATGGATTTATTGGATTAGTTTACATGATCAGAGTCCCACAATAGCCATCTTCAGGTTGGAGAGCCAGGTAAACCGGTAGCTTCTTAGTCCAAGAAGCTAGAAACCTCAGAATAAGAGGAACCTATGCTGTAGGCCTAGTTTGTTGCTGAAAGCCTGGGGAGTCTCTTGCTGCCAGTCTGTATTTAAGAGCTAACGTTTTATTAATTTTCTCATTGCTGAGACAAAATACCCAATACCCAAAGTTAAAGGAGTAAATGTTTATTTGGGCCCACAGTTTGTAGAGGTTTTAGTCCATAGTCAGCTGGCTCCAAGGCGGGGTGGCGTGGCAGAGGGGCATCACAGAGGAGAAATAGTTCATGGCAGGCAGAAGGCAGCAAAGCAGCAGCAGCAGCCTCCTTTTCTCTTTTATCCCATTCAGGCTACAAGCCTTGATTGGTGCCACCCACACCCAGACCGGGGCTTCCATTATCCACCTCCTTAATTCTAGCATCACATCTTTAATCCACATTCACACACCCTAGATCCAGCTACCTTCAAAACTCCCCACCTATGACCACATGAGGCTTTGGGGAGACGTGTAGATACAAGCCAAAACAGCTAAAGAAGCTGGAGTCTGATGTCTGTGAGCAATGACAGCAGCAGAAAAGTGCACCTGCTCAAGAAGAATTGATCTTTCATGTGTGTCAGACCAGCCTCCTTACCCTATATTTTATTGTACTCATGCTTTCAGTTTAGTAGCTGTGCCACTCCTATTCAGAGAGGGTCCTCCCACTCAGTTTGCTTGTTATCTCATATGCTAGTTATTTCTGGAAGCATCTTCACTGACACACCTAGCAATGTATTTAACTAGTTTTCTAGGCATCTTTTGATCCAATCAAGTTGACATTAAACCGAGATTCAACATTAAACCATAGATACCACAGCTAAGCAGGAAAAATACAAATGTAGCCTAAACAGCCACCTGAGCAGGGGCTGGGAAAATGCACATTACAACCAGAAATGAAGCATCTCCTCTCACCCCCAGAGGGCCCCAATGCAGAGGCAGAGAGAAGAGCCTACTTGTCTACTATGGGGGAGGCAGGTCCACCCCTGCCAGAGGCACCTTGGCAATGACCATTCAGGGCCATGGCTCCTAGTTGTGGTAACTCAGTCACACACGCACCCAAGTGAGCTCATCCAGGAACCTGCATGCTGGCCCTGACATCCACCAGAGCTGGAAGGCTCTATTGAGAAAGTGTGTCATCTGCCATGGTCTCAGAGCCCTGTGCTGAGCACAGGGGAGGGACAGCTCATGGTGGCTGGGCTGAGCAGTGGCTGGAAGAGAAGGAGAGAGGGGTAGGTCTCAGATCCACAGGGTAGCTTGTCTCACTGGGTGAGCAGAAGCCACAAGATCTTCCCCTGAGAAAGGTCACTGACAAAAGCAGATAGGGCAGCAGTGCTAGTGAAAGATCGATTCTTGGGGCAGCTTGACAGGGCTGTATTCCCCTGGTTTCTGTATCTCACGCCCCTACTCACTATCTATGACTCATTGCCAGGGCAGGCTGTGCTGACTCCCAGTCCTGGGGGGCTCAGCCTTTTCTCTGACCGGCAGATATATGAGTTTTTTCAGGCTGCTACAACAGAGAACTGCAAATAATGTGGCTCAATTAGCAGAGAATTATTGGCTCACAGTTTTGGGAGCTGAAGTCTGGGATCAAGATGTCACTTAGCTTGACTTCTTCTGAGAACTCAGGGAGAATCTTTCCAGGCCTGGTATCTAGTCAGTTTTCTGTGATTGTGACAAAATACCAGAGATGATCAACTTAATAAGGGAGGTTTATTTTAGCTCATGGCTTCAGAGGTTTCAATCCATAGTTGCTTGGCCCTGTTGCTTGGGGCCTGTGTTGGCACAATACACAGCATGTGGCAAAGGACGTCTCTGCGTCCTGGAAGTTGCTATGCACAGAGAAAGACAGGAAGGAGCCAAAGTCCAATGGCTCCTTGAAGGGTCCTCCCCTAATGACCTAACTTCCTCCCACAAGGCCCCACATCTTAAAGGTTCCATCTCCTCTCGATAGCAGAGGCTCACAACCAAACTGTACTCACAGAGGACTGTGCTCACAGACCTGATGGGACATTCGAGATCCAGGACGTAATGTAGTGATTTGCTGGCCTTCTTTGTCATTCCTTGGCTTGCAGGAGTGTCACCCCAGTCTCTGCCTTCAGTCCATTTGGTGTTCACCTGTAAGATCTTCACATGGCTTTCTTTCATAAGGACAGCAGTCATGTTGGGCCTTCCCACTCCACTATGACTTTGCCTTAAGTTGTTACCTCTGCAACAACCCTATTTGCAAACAAAGTCACATTTTGCAGCCTGGGTGTTCAGACTTCAACGTATAAATTGGATGAGGGACTCTCTTGATATGTTTCCTTCTTTGGAGCCCTCTACAAGCCCACGTCTCCCTCTAACCAGTGGCCACACCCCACTTCCCTGGGAACATCCAGTAACCCTGGGCTCTTCTTCCTGCTGCCTGCCCTGTCCCTCTGGGGCAGCTGATTGTATGGGGCTTAGGCATGCCTGCTCCAGCTCCAGCCTAACCCATGCATCCGTTGAGATTCCTTATGGTGCCATCCCTCCCACTGGCCTTTGCACATACCCTTCCCACAGGTAAAAAGTTGCCTTCCTAGAAAACCTTCTCTGGCAATGGTGGTAACAATCATAGCCTGTGGGAGGCTCATCTATTTGCCTGGCGCTAGCCTAGAGAGGTGTTACTGATACTCCATTGGACAGAGGCCAGGGAAGGCAGAATCAGACAGCATTCAGACCTGGCCAGTGTACCTGCTGGCCCTTGGGTCTGTGCTCACAGTACTTTGAGTATGAGACACGTGTGCCCTCTGTACCCCAATGTGACGCTGACACTGGGCACCAGTGCTTCATGTATATAAATCTCATCAGGTCTCCCACAGTTACTCTGTCTTCTCCTCCCATGGACTGGCCCCTGAACTCACACTCAAGAGGACCTGGCCCTCCCGACCTGCCCTGATCCTCTCTTTGGCCAATGGGCCTGTGTTCTCACCTGTACCTGCCCACTGCCACCCTCCCTCATTGCTTGTGCTCCTAGACAGCCTCAGCAGAAGCTGACCAACGTCCTACACCACTGTGTCCAGTTAGAGAGCTACTGTCGGACCCATTCACACTCCTTCATCAGGGATGGAAAAGGCAGGACGACCTATCTCTGGTGGGACTGTTGGTGCCTTGTCAGGAGCCTGGCTTTCAGAGTAGAGGCCAGACCCTGGGAGAAGAGGAAAGAGGAGCAGGTAGGTCTGTTGTGGGCACCTGGGCTGAGGAGAGGGACAAAGCTTGTTTCTTTCGGATGGCAGGGTCTGTGGCATTGTCATTCCCTGGAACTATCCCCTGATGATGCTGTCCTGGAAGACAGGTGCCTGCCTAGCTGCTGGGAACACGGTGGTGATCAAGCCTGCCCAGGTGAGTAGGGATCAACCCAGGGCAGGGCCTGTGGATACTCTCTGTACAGGGAAGTGGCGTGGGTGGGGGTTTGTGGCCCCTCTAGCCCTTCCCAGGGAGGCTACCCTACGGTGGGAGAGTAGAGGTGCGATTTCATAGGTAGATCATGCAGACCCGTGGGTGAGGACATCCTCTTAGCTTGTTTCCTCATCTGTACATTGGTAATAACCTTCCCTCCACTGCCTGCTTCCCAGGGTGCTAGAAGAAAGTGCAGGGAAGATGTGCCGCATGTGAACAGGGTACCCAGGAGACCACTCACTCTCCAGTTTCAGCACTCTGCCCCTGAGGTTATTAACAAAATCATTAATGATAGCTGACATTTCCAGCATTGTAATACACATGACAAATTATCTAGTAATTTCCATACTTTGACTTATTTAGGCATTGCAACCACCCCACAAGAAGACCTTAACCTAACTGCTTCATTGTGGAGGGCAGGACGCTGACACATGAAGGTCACTGTGTCCAGTAGGGTCGTGCTCACTTGTCCATTGCCCTTAGGTACCCTCAGCCCTGAGAAAAGGAGATGATCCCCTGATGAGGTCTGAGACCTCCAGAGCCAGCGTCCATGGATTCAGCCCTCAGCAAAGGCCTGGTGGGGGTGGGGAATGGTCTAACCTTGACCAGGAAAGATACCTGGGCCAGAAATGCGCAGAAGCCAGAAGAACAATGATTGCAGGGGGCAGGGAGCAGGGGTTGAAGGGCCAGAAAATGACCTTCCTTTTTGTTTGCAGAAGTGGAGCAGTAACCAGGGTTACAGAGACTCAGGGACAGCCAGATGCACTGAAACTTCAGAAGGGCACCTGCTGCCAGGCAGTACCTACCTCATTAGATGGTCTTCTCTCTATCCTGATGCCTGTAGTTCTCAGAGGAGAGGCTGGTTTTACTAAGAGTTCAGGGACCTGGAGTGTACCCTTCCCTGCTGGGAAGTCCTATTCGACTCTGCTCCCCAGGGCCTAGTGTAAATAAACACAGTGGGAGAAAGGGTCCAGGCCTGGCCAAAGGGCTGGAGCTCTGCTACGAGGAGAAGCTAGGACAGCCCCTCTTGCCAGCTGCAGCTGTGAGGGAAGTTGACAATGCCTCCTATGATTGGTCTTCTGGGTGCCCTAATCCATCCCTGCTCCCTCCCTACTTCCAGCTGGGCTACAGGGAGAGGAAGACAGAGCCCTGGCTCTATTCTCCTCTTTAGCCAGTTTTCTCTTTGTCCCTTTTCAGGTGACGCCACTCACAGCCTTGAAGTTTGCAGAGCTGACACTGAAAGCTGGCATCCCCAAGGGTGTGATCAACATCCTCCCAGGATCTGGTGAGGGCAGGAGCCGGGCAAAGGGCTGGGGCTCCAGGAGTTGGAAATTCATTTAGTCAGAGCAGGTCCTCTGGTTCATGTGGGCTCCAGCGCAGCTTGAGGAGAGCAAGTATGGATGGCCGAACTGTAGTGCAGGAGGCCTCAGGCCGGGAGAGGAATGTGCACCGGGAAGGATTGTGGCTTTCAAATGCCCCCCCTGAATGTTTTCATTTGGTATATTCATATGCCCAGGAATAAATTACATGACTTGGGAATTATCTGCCCTTAGAAGTATGTGCCAATTTATCCATAGAACATTCTAGGCTTAGAGTATTTGAGGAGGTAACTGATTCTTTAGTTTCTTCTGTGTTTAGTGGTCTAATTTGTTGGAAAAGTTCTTTCTTGGGCAGATTTTCACCTCTTAGAACAAGAGTTATATATAATAATCTTACTATTTGCATCTCCTTTTTTCTCTTGATTATTGTAACAGCCTCTTTATATTTTCCCTTTTTTCACTCTTAAAATTTATTTAGAAAAGTTGTTGCTTGTTTGTCCTTGTGTCCTCATTGTCAGAAAAATGCTTAAGGATCTCTTTACCCTGTACCTTTGTTAGTCTTTTTACTTGTATTATTTTTATCTTTATTATCTCTGTCTGTGTTTTCCTGAGTGTACTTTTTTAACTTTGTGAGTTGACTGTTTACTTTTTTGATTTTTATTATTATGGTTTCAATGAGAAAAACATTTAAGGGAAATTTCGATGACACCTCATACATATTGTTATAAATACTTCATACTTGCTTATAACAATTTTATTTTTATAAATGCGCCTCTGTTTCTGACATTTGATAATTTTGTCTTAAGGTCTAATTTCTCCAATATTAGCTTCTGTGTATCCACCTAAGCTTTTTTTTTTTTTTGTCTTTTTGAGACAGGTTCTCACTATGCAGTTCAGGCTGGCCTCAAGCTCACTTTATAGCCCAGGCTGGTCTCAAACTCACAACAATCTTCCTGTCTCAGCCTCCTGAGTGTTGCAATTATAGGTGTGTGCCACCATGCCTGGCCACCTAAGGTTTCATATGGTTGCTGTTTGTATTTTTTTTCTATTCTTTTACTTTCAATCTGTTCATAACCTTTATTTTTTTCTTGAAAGTATTTTACTTCAGATTGAAAAATGAACAGCTTCCACACTGTTCATTGCAAGATACACAGTATTCATCAATACAGTACTGGTCATTTGAGGTCACATATATACACCTCAATTTCTCTTTCATGCTTTTTCTTTTAGAAAGATACTGTTTACCAAAAGGAAACTTCAGCAGTACAGGAAAAACTACTTTCCCAATAAATTTACGAAAACCTAAGATTCCCAATGGAATCAGGATTGTCATCCCACTACCACCACCTTAGTATAGTCACGTGCTTATCAGAACACTAATATTCGCTCCCTAAGAGTACATTTACTTTCAACAATGAGGGTGATTCTTAAAAATAAAACAAAATAAAACAAAAACTTCAGTGTGGTAAATGTAACATGGATCTCTGAAAGTATTAAGTGTCTGAAATAGGCAGCTAATACTGGATTTAATATTATTTTATAAATAATTGTTCCCTTAGTAGTAAACATAAGTCTACATATTCACAATAGTCCTACAAAATAAGTACTGGGATTATTCATAATATGTTATGACAAAGTAGTTTCAAAAAACAAAAGCTCAACATCTTGATAAAAATTCTGATCAGAATAAAATGATGATGTTTTAAACATCATCAAAATAACATCACATTTAAAATCATCCATGGAAACTCATCTATGAGTTTCCAGTTTTGGAACATATTTTTCCATTGTGAATTAAAATATGAACACATTGAAAATTGTTAATTTCAGTGATGACATCAGTTTTGGTCTTACTTTAACATTATTTTCTTTCATAAAAAGTTGCATTATGTGTCCATTAGTGGTCTGATTGATCTTTGATATTTCATAAATGTATATAAAAGAAATCCCTAAAAGTCAACAGTACTTT